TCCTGCCTCCTCACATTGTTCGACGAGTGCCTCGTAACGGTTTTCTTTCCGCTCATGAGCGGCATAGATATTGTCCTCGTGGGGCACCGTGAGCTCTACCAAGTGTACCTCTTTGTCTTTTTCCTCCCATAACACAATGTCTGGCTTTTTCGTAGTATAAATCTTGCTTTAGCAGGTTTCAATTTTTTTTTTTTAATGCGGACGATGACTGTCCACCCGATAGAAAAGAGGGGCGAATTTCTCCGTCCCTCGCATGCCTCGGGCAGTATCCGCCTCGCTGAACCAGTGGGCACAAGGCGGAGGAGAAGCTGAGAACAGATACCACCTTTGATCGTAGCCAAAAGGCCGAGAAGGTATGCGCAAACTCGGGAACAACAGTTATCTTGCAGCGCATGAACTTGCATTCGATCTGTCAAATTACTGCAATTTGTCTTAGCTAAGACATTTCGCCTGTTTATCCGATCGCATACCTAAACACAAACTTTCAAACACTTTTTTTTTCAGCATAAATGATCAGTAATAACAGAGATACAGTGGAATCCTGATAAAGTCAACTCTTGCTTACATCCAACACCTCACTGTAGTCCCGTTTCTTACCTTCTTTGTTAAAGTAATCGTGTTTCTGATACAGTCAACCACGTGAGTGTTAACCTTGCGTAAAGTCAACAATTTGGGGCTAAGTCCTAAGATGAATTCCATTCAAGAAGAGATATTTCGCCTGAGCAAGTGATGTACACACCTCGTGTACTTTGTTCTTTCATTATCTCTTGTTTTGGTGACAACTTCAGAATTATACTCCCTGAAATTGAGATTACATCTTGTTTATTACCAGGTACTTTTTAATTTTGTAGCTGTCATCTTCAATTTCCAATGGCTAGTACATGTAGTACAATGGATAAAGTCAACCTTGCTCAAAGTCAACACTTTTTTCTGTCCGAGGTGTTGTCTTTATTAGAATTCCACTGTAACTTGTTTTTGTTTTTTTATTAAAAGCTCTTTTGTCATAGACATGAGTCTCAATTTTTTCCCTTTTTATTAGTAAGAAAGAGTGTGTATGCAATATTTTCCTTGAATGATTTACTTTAATTGTGAGGCAGCATGGTGAAATCAGGCGCTCGTCAAAATAATGAAATCATGAAATCATGAAATCAGCTTTCAAAATCTGTTACTTGTACATGATTATCTAGAACACTTTGATAAAGGGGAGGTAGTCCTCGCAACACTTTTGAAATTGTTGGAATCGCAGAACAGTCTCCCTTGCAACACCTTTTGGTAATGTGGTCATAAAGAACTTATTACATGAGTTATGGTGGGAGATTATGATTTATCCTTGGAGTGAAATTGTCAAGTTGTAATCACGAGTTAAAAATAATATAATTAAATAATCACTGCTTCCCTTGCTAATTTTGTAACATCGTTGCAGTCAAATCCACCCATAGACAAAAGACTCAAAAGTCAAAATGTCAAATAGACGGTCATAATCTTCAATGAACAGTGTAGTGTACACAACATTCAAAATTTGTTTCATTGCCTCATACATTCCTTCTTCACACCCATCGGGCCACTCTAATAAGCAGTCACAAGCACTGATTATGTAACCTTGCAATTAGACTGGTAAAGTCTAACTCAAAGAGGTGAAGGGAACTTACTCAAAATAATGCAATGAATACGTGTTTTTTTGTTTGAGTGTTTGTTTGTTTTTCCTCGACTTTTTGCTGTCCTATAATCACATCTAAATATTTAATTCTATATTTTTCCGATTATTTTGAAGATTTAATAATAAGAATAGGCCTGTAATAATAATGCATTTATACACAGCGTTCAATTCAAAAGCAGGATGAATTTCACTTCACACAACTCAGCGATGCTGCAAGGGTAAGAAATTTTGTTGAATTGCTCCCACAGAATTCTACACTTAGTGTAGAATTCTGTGATTGCTCCTAACGTGGGAAATCTATCTATTGTTTGTCACCACATCTCTATTCGGTTTTTTGTCTCACTTCGATTAGGCCTATGACCCTGTCAAAACCAGCCAGCTTTCGCCCCTCTACGACATATACTATTATGTAGGCCTATAACACACACTCACACACATTTAAACACACACACACACATACACACACACACACACACACACACACACACACACACACACACATATATTATCAATGTAATACAGTGTATATATAATTTATTATAATCAATAGGCCTACAGTGAAATCAGGCACCCGTCAAAATAATGAAATCATGAAATCGACGAAATCAAAATTTCGGAGGTGCACCCATGGGTGGGAGGTGCGGGGGGGGGCAGAAATTTCGCGAAAGTTACCATTAATTGATGTAATCAGTAATTCCCATCAAGAATCAAGAAACAAAATTTCTCTTTAGTTTTGAAGCTACCAATAATTGCAGTTTTAGGGGGTTTGATAGTTCAAGGAGAACGTTTAAGGAATTCTTAGGATCGAAATTTTTTCAGTCCGAAGAAGTTTCCCCTTGAACTTGGCAGTGCAACTGCGTTGACTGGGCTGTAACTTTGAGGCTAAGAATTAAGGTATCGTACTTCTAACCCTTGGCTAAGATTTAGATCTATTCGTAACAAAGACAACATATTTAGGAAGAAAGTTTCAAATGATTGTCACCCTTCCTATGTCTAATTTCAATCTAGATCTAGTACCCGTAACGTGTATAATTTCAGAAACCACTATTGTCATCCATCTAGATCTAGATTCTAGTTATTCAATTAGAATATAAACGCGACAAATCGTTGTACCATACTCCGTCAGTTTTGGCAGCTGCTGAATGCAACACAGTCACAACACAGTCAACTTGAGTCAACACAGTGAATTGCAGAAATGGCTGCGTCGAACCAAACTAAACTAGTGGTCGCTGCTGGTTTTTTAATATTTAGAAGGCTTCAGAATCAAGTCCAATATCTTCTCCTTCAGACTTCATATGGAGGACATCACTGGACCCCTCCAAAAGGTAAGTGTATTCTCTGGGTTGAAATTTTATGACAACAATCAGATTTTTCCAGGTTGTTTGATACTGACCAAGCCACCTCATCCTGGACAACAGAACATAGATATCTAGATCTAGATCTAGATTCTAGGTCATTTGGTATGTCAAAGATACAGACAGGAAAAAACAGCAGAACAGGAAACAGGGCAATCTTCCTGGAGTAAATATATCTTAGACTTATATGTGAGGCATCGTGGTTGAATCAGGCGCTCATCAAAATAATGATTCAAGAAATCGGCATTTATGATAATTTATCCGCCAGTTTGGACAATTTTTGTTTCTTGGCTCAACACCTTGTATCATGTCCATTCAAAAACACTTTTTGATGTGTGGTTATGAAATTCAGTCTAGAAAGCAAGCAACATCTCACTGTGCACCAAGATTCGACTCTTTAACCCTTCTACATCATGTTTTGCGATCGTATCCATACGACGTGTGGAACTCTGAGCCACCACTTTCCCAAGAGGAAATTTTACTCGTCTATCCGATCCTAACCATTGCAATCTGTCAGAATAATTTTTGGAGAACAAATACTGAAAGTTTCGAAGGAATCTTAGTACTAGAAGTATTCTAAAATGTGAAGAATACAACCTCGGGGGTGCAAAATTACCCCAGGGTGTATGGATAGGGTTAATTCCAACGAAGTGGCTAGCCGTACTTAAGTACCGCTAGACTGCCAGTCTAGCCGTACTTAGATCTAGGTTTGGCCCAATCGACTCAAGCCTGTTAAGTACACAGGTCTCATTAGATCTAGATCTACAGTACTCTCTGGGCATCTCGGCCGTGTGGACAAGTCGGCCACCAGAAATAAACAGTGTTGTTCCATCTCGTTTAAAAGCCAATCTTGATTGGATATCTAATCAATTTATTGACCAATGTAATCTTTGTTTAATCAATGCTAGCACTTCCGGCCGTCTGTCTTCCCTTTCAACCGTTTTCACTGAATTTTTGCGAATTTTTAGCGACGAATCCAGTTGAGTTGAAGGTAAGTCCACCATTTTTCATTGTCTCCATAACATGAACTATGCATAATTATAAGGTCATGGACATGCGCAGATGCAATATTAGTACGGCACATGACCTGGGACGGGAGGGGGAGGTTTTTTTGCATATTCCTGTGAACGAGGGGAAGCCCCTCTTGCATTAGCGGTGAGGTGGTGGGGGGGCCGAGTCAATCGGGCTAACAAAATCAAGAGTCCGGGTTGTTCGACCGGGGCTGGCCGAGTTTTGTGGACTCAGTTTGTGCATATCGGCTTAGTGCACAATATGTTTTTAAAATATATTTTCACGCTTATGGAGTTGTTTGAAGTTTCTTTTTATTTGACAGAATAGGGTGTATCATGGATTTCGTAATTTTAATGAGTGGTTTTGGGGGTGTTTGGGGTGAGACTGAGATGAGTGAATCAGGGCTGGAATTTTTTTAAGAATTAGATCTAATTTTTAGATGTAGGTGGATCTATAAATGCCATTTTCTTTTTCTGTCCCTGGGGTTTTAGTTTTATGTACCCTACATAATTTAGCAAAATTGTATCTTTTTTGTGCATAATTTCTGATTCGGAGTGGCTATTCGCCCGATCTCGATCAAGTAGCCTGACGCTACTGGCCCGTGGGGATTTCTCTGTTTCTGTCTCTCTATCTCTGTCTCTCCCTCTCTCTCTGTCTCTGTCTGTCTGTCTGTCTCTCTCTCTCTCTCTCTCTCTCTCTCTCTCTCTCTCTCTCTCTCTCTCTCTCTCTCTCTCTCTGTCTCTCTCTCTCTCTCTCTCTGTCACTATCTTTCTTTCTGTCTCTCTGTCTCTCTCTCGGCCTTCATCTCTCTTTCTGTCTGTCTGTCTGTCTGTCTCTCTCTCTCTCTTTCTCTCTCCCTTTCTCTCTTTCTGTCTCTCTCTCTATCACTCTCTTTCTGTCTGTCTGTCTGTCTGTCTGTCTGTCTCTCTCTCTCTCTCTCTCTCTCTCTCTCTCTCTCTCTCTCTCTCTCTCTCCCTCCCTTGCTATCTCTCCCTCTCTCTTTCTCGTTCTCACTCTCTCTCTTTCTCACCCCCCCCCTTTCTCGCTTTCAACTCAGCGCTGGAAGGTTTGTCAAGTTTACACTCGTATCACGGACCGTCACGCGCTAAGATGATGTAGTTTTGGGGACTCAGTTCTCGAGGCCGTGTTTACACCTAATACATGTAGATCTACATGAACGGGGTGCCCACAACGGATGGGATCGGCCTATCGCCCGACTCGGTCGCCTCAAAAGTTTGTTTGTTTTCATTATCAGGCAATCGAGCCAGGCCGATCCAGCCGTAGGGGGCGGGCACCCCGTGTAAGACAGACTAGATCTTCGTGACCGGTTCCGGGTGGCCAAAAAATTGCTAGCCACCCGAGGTCGCAGATATCCCCACTGGCCATTAGCGTCAGGCTACTCGACCCCTGATGCTAGCCACTCAAGATCGGGCGAGCAGTATAATTTCACATTTTTGGGCTCAGTTTGCATAATTTCAGAATTACTTTTTTTAACAAAAAACTGCGGGGACAACTTTTTCTTCTTAACAATCTTCCACAACAGCTGCCTTATTATTCATTTTTAATTTTTATTTCATCATCAGATGGACAGACAATCAAAGATTAAAGCTGCATATGAAGCCGTCAAAGGCGGAATGCCAATTCGGGCTGCCAGCAGGCAATTTGCCGTCCCTAGGTCAACTCTGCAAGACAGACTTGCAAAACGCATTCCTCTGGAGCAAAGACCAAAAACGGCGCTGACACCAGAGGAAGAAACCCAGGTAATTGTAACATATTATCATACTATTGGTAAAAGGAGAGAGAGACAGAGACAGACAGACAGAGACAGAGAGAATACTCAGTGTATCTGATTTATGACTAAACTTCCAGATAAGAATGTTCAAATGTTGTCAATATAATGTCCATATTGTCACAGAGCGATCCGACCAAACGAAAAATTGTCTTTATTGTCCGTAATGATCTATTATTATATTTGGTGATCTTTTAAGCAAATTAATGGCATTGTTTACTTGAACGCCAGATGGCTAGGTCGTTGGCATATATAGGGCCTTCTCCGATATATCTCAGGCAGGTCGTTAATGAAAACAAGGAAAAGTGTGCAGCTCAGAGAGGAACCCTTGGGTAGGCCCTCCTCCAGTACAGCTTTGGGTGATACACCATTGTTAATCCTGGTCAGGACTGTCCAGTCTGAGTCTTGTGTAAGGAAGGTCTTCACCCATCTGTAAAGTTTCCCGTGGATTCCTGTCATACCATTTTAGGCTACCTGTTGTGTGGTAATCATAATCAATGGTGTGACTGTTGTGTGGTTAACCTCCAATAGGCCAAACCAAAACAATTCTGAGTCAGCAGTCTTAAAGTTGTTCTTTTCTTTCTCTCTTTTGTAATCTAGTTCTCCCAGTGGGCCATCAATATGGCGAGGGCTGGCTTTGGCCGAACAAGGAAGGACTTCCTCACCAACATCCAGGGCTACCTGAACCAGCTCCATGAACCGCAGCTGCGCTTCAAAAACAGCAACAAGCCAGGGAAGAGTTGGTAAGACAATTATTCTGTGACATTATCATATATAATGAATGTGATGGTGGACTTGACCCCAAGGGTTTTAAAAATATTATTCCCCAGATCTACAGTATCTTGCTACTTTGCAACTTCATTGGTGCAAGTTAATACTCTCCTCCAAAATTAAGGATCGATGTTGGTTGAATCCTCCTTCCATTTGTGAAGATTAAAACTTAGCATTTTGGTCACATCTTCAAAAATGTTTTAAAATTGTCAGTTAGTTTTTGTTAGGTTTTACGGCAATCGCAACTGCATAACGTCATATTGAACGCCAAGGGGAGGATGTCAACAGAGAACTTGTCCAAACGGGGAATCAGGCTTACTCTGCTCACCTCTCTAGCCTTTAACAACACAAAGTCTGCTTCAACTATCAAAACACCCTGGAAATGACAGTTCTCAAGAGAGTGATAAAAACACAAAAGAAGTACAGGGATGCCAAATAAATCTCAGGTTTTTCAGGCTTTAAAAAAAAATAAAAAAATCTTCTCAAGACAGATATAATATTACTGGAATTGATTAAACAAAGTCCCCATACCCTTGCAAAGGAAAGGGGAGAGGTAAGAGAGAGGTTTTTGTGTACTCATTTAAAAGCATTACAAGGTTTGTTTTAGGTGAAATGTGAAGCTCCACTCATTTTCATTGTTTTTTTCAAAAATCATTTGGCATCCCTGGAAGTAGATCTAGAGAAAAATGATGATAGTAAGGATGAGATGGGGAAAGAAAAAGCAGTAGTTCCCTCTATGTTATTCCAGCACAGTATGAGCATGATATTGATAAATCAGCCCATTTACAATTTTACTGTGCATAAGAACATGTTAATATCCCCCCCCCCCCTTTTTTAAATTGTTAAATTGTCTATAACATCACTGTTTTTTCACAGGTACTATGACTACCTCAAACGCCACCCAGAGCTCACAGAGAGGTGTGCGAGTGCCCTGGGGTTTGAGCGGGCTGTTGTGACCCCGACAAAAGTGGAGGACTGGTTTCAGGCCCTGGAGAACTTCATCCAGGAGGAGGATCCTTCTTTGTTGGACGAGCCTGCCCGCTGGTACAACGCTGACGAGTCTGGCTTCGCATTGTGCCTGAAGTCCAGGAGGGTGCTGGCGCCCAAATCTTGTAAAACAGACAGACATCTATATCTCAACACCTCATCAACAAAACATCAGATCACATCATTATGTTGTATGTCAGCCACTGGTCATTTTGTTTCTCCATTTGTAGTGTTTCCAGGGAAGCGTTTGACTGTGAACCCAACAGAACATTTCCGGGACTGCTCTGTTGGGTTGAGTGAAAGAGGATGGATGACTGGTGAGTTGTTTGCGGATTGGTTGGAGCGTGTGTTTGTGAAAAAGTTGGATGAATGTAAAGTAAAACGGCCTGTGATTCTTTTCGTTGATAGGTCAAGTACCCACAAAAGCAAACAGGCGAGTGACATTTGCTTGAGGAACAGAATAATTTTGTACTGTCTTCAACCAAATGCCACTCATCTGCTCCAACCTCTCGATTTATCCTTCTTTGGCAGCATAAAGCACCACTGGGGAGAAGCTGTCATGGACTTCCAGACAAAAAATCCCGGGACATCAGTGACAAAGTCATCATTTGCCTTGGTATTTAAGGAAGCTTACACAAAATCGTGTACCGCAGAGGTGGCAAGGGCCGGCTTTAGAAAGGCTGGCCTCTTTCCCCTCTGCAAAGAAGTTGTCTTAAGTACCAAGAAAATGATGGCTTCCAGCTTTCTTGTTGGCTCCCCAACATCATCTTCTAATACAGGTACTTCTATGCCACCATTTTCATCTCCTTCTCTATCATCAGCACCATCTTCGTCATCATCATCCTCTTCAGCTGCCCCTATGGGGACTCTTTCCTCGCCTTCTCCGGCTACAAAGTTGAGGGTCTTGGAGTCAGTCATGACAGACGAAATAAAGGTGAAGTATGCCACCCGTCTTGCGGAAGGATATGACCTCCTGGACGATCCTTTTTACACCGCTTGGAAGGAGAACAAACTTCTATCCTCCAGGCCATCTCCCTCTGCTTGTCCTTCGGGATCTAGTGACTCTTTCACTGCAGAGGTATCCCTGTCCTGTCCTTTTCAGTGTCGGAGTTTTACCTCAGCTGAGTGTACTCCTTCCACATCTTTTTCTTCCCTTCATCAACCTTCCACCCTAGCTGAGTACTCTGCTTCCACATCTTTTCCTTCCCTTCATCAACCTTCCACCTCAGCTGAGTGTACTCCTTCCACATCTTTTTCTTCCCTTCATCAACCTTCAACCTCAGCAGCTGAGTACACTCCTTCCACATCTTTTTCTTCCCTTCATCAACCTTCCACCTCAGCTGAGTGTACTCCTTCCACATCTTTTTCTTCCCTTCATCAACCTTCAACCTCAGCAGCTGAGTACACTCCTTCCACATCTTTTTCTTCCCTTCATCAACCTTCCACCTCAGCTGAGTGTACTCCTTCCACATCTTTTTCTTCCCTTCATCAACCTTCCACCTCAGCAGCTGAGTACACTCCTTCCACATCCTTTGCTTCATCTCAACCTTCCCCAGTGTGTGCTGCCATTTCTGTCTCTCTTAACATAAACGATTTCCTGAATTCCCAAACCCCTCGTGTGCCTGTGAGGAAAGGAAGAGTGTTGCGAAAGGTAGTGCCAAATATGGCTTTAACGAGTGACGAAACCGTGCAATATTTTAAAAAATTGGAAGAAGCAAAACTGAGTGAGGAGAGGAGGAAGGAAGAAAAGAAAGTAGCCAACGAACAGAAGAAGAGACAGAGAGAAGAGAAGAAAAGAAAACATGTAGAAGAAAAGCAGAGGAAAACTGAAGAAAAGAAAAAGCGAGCTGAGGAGAGTATGAAAAAGAAGGAAATGAGGAAAAAGAGAGGTAAGGGAAAGGGGAAGGTTGCAAAACGTGTCAGGTTTGAGGTGGGCTGTAGTAGTTGTAGCAGTGAGAGTGAAGGAGAAGCTAGACCTATGCATAATTTGAATGATGATTCTGATGTGAATGTGAGTGTGAGTGATGTCTGTCCCGGACGTGTGGATGTGAATGAATGTTGTGAGTGTCATGGAAGGTATAAAAAAGTAGAAGCCACAACGTAGGTTGGATGTAATGCGTGTGAGAGGTGGTTCCACAAGAAATGTGTGAAGAGTATAGATGTGCTTGGGATGAGTGATGAGCAACTGGAGGAGCTTGATTTTGTGTGTGATGTCTGCCTCTCTGTTAGAATGTAATACCCTTTTCTGTGGCTTGAATAAAATTTACAAACTTTAATTGACTACTTAAAAAAGACATTGTGATAAGATAAGATACGTCTTTATAAATTATTGTCCAGATCCTGGCACATTGATTTGATGTTTCACCATGAAAGTCTTTATATATGTTATTGTCCAGATCCTGGCACATTGTCATTGATTTGATGTTTCACCATGAAAGTCTTTATATGTTATTGTCCAGATCCTGGCACATTGATTTGGTGTTTCACCATGAAAGTCTTTATATATGTTATTGTCCAGATCCTGGCACATTGATTTGGTGTTTCACCATGTACACCACACACACACACACATACGCAGGCTTACAGTCACATGCATAAAATATAAATGAACAGTAATATAAACAACAATAATAATCTTAAGCTAGATACATACTCAGTATTCTGGCTGTAACTCTATGAAATTCTCATGCACGTTCTAAGGTCATATGAGTACTTGTAACATGATGGTTAATAATTTTGATGGTTTATTGTTATTGTAAGAATTAACTTCTACATCTTTCTTTGTTACAGTTACAGGTCAGAGGCCTGGGTCTCTTACATCTGACTTATGTTTTTATTTGGGGGAACAAGGGATGTTTAATGTCCAAAAAGTTGGAATCAATTATTTTAGTCTAGTGCAAGCTGTATGTTGTACAGTTCATCCAAGTTGGGCAATGTTACTCAGTTACTGAATGTGATATGATGAAATGTTGCATACTTTCAGTATTAATCTACTCAATTTTTCTTTATCTTGTCTGGTGTTCCCGGCCCATGCCGTGTAATACAGAAGTTGATCATACTTATGGACATGATAGGCTACATCAATGTATTATCAACTTTAAAAATACATGAGCTTCCTTAGAAAAAATAGTCTTTTGTTCACTTTTTTATGCAAGAGAGAAGTGTGGACACACCAGCTGTTCCATTCATTGAAAGAGAGTTTCTATGTCAGTCACTCTGTTTGTTTGTCCACTTGTCTGTCTGTATGTCTAAGTGTCTGCTATCTGTCCATCTGTCTCTTCTCTCTCTGTCCCTCTTAGGTGAGGAGTCTTTTCATCTTTTTATTTTCCTCAAAATGTCTCTACTTCTTATTACAAAACTATGACTAAAACTATGATGAACAACAAAGATTTGAGCTTCCTAATTTACTCCCAAGTCAGAATATTTATCACTTTTTATGTAAAAGTAGTCTTAAAGGTTTTAATTCACACTAGAGAGATAAACATGGGTGTTATAGGGCATAATTGTAGGTGGCCGACATTCCCGGACCATTTCCAAATGGGTGGCCGACCTTCCCAGACCCCTCCGGCCGACTCGTCCAGACCCGGCCGAAATTGAGCCAAAAATGCGATATGAAATTTTGCCGAGTGACTTACAAAAAAAATAACTGATAGTTCATTCACTGCCACCAACGTGTAGAGGATACTTTTCGGCTTCTTTTAAGTGGTTTTCCGTGTGTCAACAACGATTGAGGCTCTCACAGTGTTGAAATAAAAACAGTATTTCTTAGGGGGCCGAGATGGCCAGACAGTACTCTAGATCTAGTAATTATTCAGGTTCAAATACATGCAAGTCAGTAAGGCACCTTTTGGTTTTGTCTGAAATACAAATACTTTTGGCATTGCACACTAAAAATTTCATTTACAATTCAGCCATCAATATTAAGTACGGCTAGCCTGACAGTCTAGCCGTCCTTAAGTACGGCTAGCCTGGCTGTCTACCCGTACTTAAGTACGGCTAGACTGCCAGTCTAGCCGTACTTATCTTAGGCCTTATTAACGTTAGAAAACAGGAGGTTTAAAATACATACACTGTCATTAAGGCACCTGGTTTCGTCTCAAATACAAATGCTTTAGGTACTGCACACTAAAAATGTATATTTACAATTCAGTAGACCTATTTTTTGTAAATGGTCAGTCTAGCCATCATATTAAGAATAAGTACGGCTAGACTGCGAGACAGTCTATGCTCCTCGTACGGTTGCGAAACTTGGAAGACAACAAAGACATCAGATGTATGAGCCTGAGTATCCTAAGAATTAAGTAGCAGGTTAGAAAAAAAGAAATGAAGAGCTGTGGGAAAAGACAGGACAAAAGGATTTGATAGAGAAGTGGAAATAGGAGACTAAGTGGCAATAGATGGGACACACCCTCAGAAAGCCCCACGGAAACATCACAAGACAGTCGCTGCAGTGGGACCCACAGGGAGCACGAGGCAGGGGTAGACCACGGGAACATGGAGGAGATCATGTCTGCCGTCGTAAGGGAAAACGACGAATGGTCTTGCGCAGGTAGCGACGCAAATTTTTCAGGAGAAGCAAAAACTTTTCAATTTATAACTATTCTATTTTTTCACTCTTTTAAGCTGTAATTCACCAGAGATTGAGGTGTTCATAAAGCAGTTTCTAAAGTTTGAATGGTTTAGGTTGAAAAGTAACAAAGTTATTCGACATTCGTCGTTCTCCCTTACATTTGTGCACCCGCAGGTGAGCCTTGCGATGTACGCGAAAACGACGAATGGTACGGTTCGTCGTTCTCCTTTACACTCGGGAACGTTTATGGACGTAGGCGATTGTCAGTCGTGACGGCATTATTGACAGCAATGACTGTGATATGGTTACTACAAATAAAAATAAGACGTGTATACAAACTAGCTATTATACGTATAAAGTTAGGTGTTTGCTGCACTATATTCCAATTGTAACTCGGTAAACGTCCTTCTTTTCCCTTCCTAGCTTGGTTGCATACTACACAGTCAGTGTACAAATCAGATGTGCACACATTTTCAACAGCTTGATTTAAAACTGTCTCATTCGGAACCTAAGTTTGGTCTCCATGATATCTCTCTATTGTATTCTCTTCAGAAGCGAGTTTTACTTTTATTTTTGCTAATTGCAAAATTTTCCCTGCACGACCAAAGGGATCATCAATGTTACAATGTCAATAATGCGATCAGATCATTGCGAAGTCAAACTTTCATGTAAGAAATGTTACAATCTGACAAGACTGTTTCACATACGCTTTTGGGAGAGGTAATTCGACGCTTTGTAGGATTCAGTTGATTGGATCGGAAAACATACCACAAAGTAGAGATCAACAAGGACAGTTTGAATCCTCAAGACATTATTTTACTCGATCATAACGTCCATCAAGTCATAAAAAATCATAAAGCAAGACTAAGTGGCGCCACAATACGTCCACTTTTTAAGTTGGACAAAGAAATTTACTCTCATAACGCAGTGTCATTAATTGCTTGGTAATTCTATAATGATGTCAAACAGTGACATGTGCTATACAAGTTGCGGCACTATAACCACCGTTGGAATTTGGGATGTCAAACAGCAAATTAACATGACGTTAGTCTGTGAACATCTGACGGACACTAATATGCAGTGCTAATAAATTTCTCCTTAAATAATTTTTTTACCCTCCCCTTTCCCCCTATTCCCATCCGTTTTCCCCTCTCTCCCGCCTGCCCTTGTCAATTCACACCACCAGCATAGGCCTAAATTCATGAAGACAGACAGAAAGACACACTGAGTGATACGTTCTTATAAACCTGGTCGACAGTACTCCGGGGGAGGGTGTGGTGGTGTGTTTGTTTGCAAAAAACCTAGTATGTTTGTACTGACGCAACAGTGACCAATTGTCATTCGTCGCCCATGCTGAATTTGCCCAACGGTAGAGACCAGGGGCCAACGCCGAACGAGCAGTGATCCTTGACCGATCGACCATTCGTCGTTCTCCCTTACACTGAGCTCTGGCTCGGAGCTCGCCAGTGTACGGGAAAACGGCGAACTCTCAATTACACAAGAGTATTTAATTCTGCATCTGATGGAGTAAAAATTTTGTCATATCCTAATCTGTTGTTGTGTAATTGAGAGTTCGCCGTTTTCCCGTACACTGGCGAGCTCCGAGCCAGAGCTCAGTGTAAGGGAGAACGACGAATGGTCGATCGGTCAAGGATCACTGCTCGTTCGGCGTTGGCCCCTGGTCTCTACCGTTGGGCAAATAATATATAAAAACAACATAATCGAAAAATGTTGACCATTCGTCGGTTTTTTCCTTTACGACAGCAGATGTGTGGAAAGGGACATGAGAGAGAGGAAGCTCACTTGGAATGAGCTAGGAAGGATAGCCCAGGACAGAGATAAATGGAAGGAGCTTGTATGTGGACTATACCTGGTCAGGGGTGAAAGGCATTGATGATATTTGAAATTCATTATAATTAATGCGAAACACTTGTCCACGTACAGTAACTGTTTGTTGTTCAAGTCAAAGTTGTTGCAAATTCACCCCAATTTTTGTTTGGAGAAAATTTAGCGAAAAATTGGCCTCATTTCAATTTTGGTGGATCCAGTGATTTTTCTTTTATTTCAACCTGCGGTCTGGAAAGAAACATGTAAAAAGAATAACAAACTTTCTATTGGTTCTTCAAGTGTCTCTCTGAGTTCAGCGCAAAGATCAGTTTTGTTGCAAAGTCACCCCAGTTTACGGTATATAAACTTATTTGCACCTTTACATTGCTATCTGCCTACTGTTTGAGTTGCTTGGTCTTAATTACAGTAGTCGCCGCCTAAGCGCACAGTTTACATGAACCTTTGCAAAGGGAGGAAGTGACGCAGTCATCTTATTGCCTTGATATTCTAGTCACCTCCCTTTAGGGTAGTGGTCACTTTAGGCAGATAATGTGACGACACGTGACTGTTTTGTGAAGAATTTCCCGACTGTGGTTAAGAATGTAATGCAGTTAAAAGGGGGATGGAGGAGGGGAGAAAAACAGACTCGATGTAATTATATGCACCATAAAATATCGGGAACAGATGACCGGAGGGGAAATTGTTTGTGATAGTCATAGAGATGACGGCCCAGCCACGTGGCTTTCCAAACAACCACCCCCAACCTAAAATTCATGAATATATCAGAATCATAGATCTCTACATTCAAAGAAACATTTCTCAAGTTGTGATTCAACTGCAATTTATGAAAAACTTCTCGAACTTGTTTGGCAAAATCCATCCTTGTATGACGCTGCCTTACCACAAAACAAGAACACCGCTGCTTTTTCTCTCACAAACACCGCTAAAGTATGTGCAATTTCCGCAAACCGCCACGCCACCATGCCGTCACCGCACACTTCTACATGTTAACCAGCCTTTATCTGTCAATTTTTGGGGTTGTTTATGTGCTGTTCTAATTTTGATTTCATTCTGTTTTGAAAACTTAATTTTTCACGTTTTTACACTCTGTGTATGATATTCTGCAGAGCACAAGAAATTCTGGTGCTGTAGATTAAGTTCTCTCTATCAACATTATTGCTATATAATAGGTCGTCACAGCAGAGTGTCGAAAGCTTGAAAATTAATGGCAACTTTTATGGCAACTTTGGCCATTTTTGTGGAAATTTTTAGACCAAGAAAATGGCAACAAACGCAGATGATACGACTATGGCACCTGTTATACTAGTAGTGCATTATTTAGCCATTATAAAAGTCATCTAGTGACCTATATTATATTATATGGTATACTAAAAAACCTCTTTTTATTTGCATTCATATTGTTTCTTCCTCCTTTTTTCTGTTTGTACAGGCCATGTCGATCCCGGAGAGTCTGAATTTGAGACTGCTGTGAGGGAAACTGAGGAAGAGGCAGGACTGAAAGCTGAGCAGATGAAAATAATCAAAGAGTTTGAAAAGTCCCTCCATTATGATGTGAAAGGAAAGCCCAAGAAAGTGGTGTACTGGTTGTCTGAGCTGTCCAATCCCAATGACCCCATCGTGCTGTCGCATGAACACAAAGATTTCAAGTGGCTTGAGCTTGAATCAGCATGCACCTATTCCGAGTTTCCAGACATGATTAGCTTGTTAAAAGAAGCTGATACTTTTATTACCAGTAAATATAGCTCATGATGAGGATTTGTTTTTAATTATTTTTATAAGACAATCTGTATTTTTCAAAGATTCCATTCTCAGATAAATATATATACTAAATGTATGATTGTTTCTAAGATTGAGCTTTCTTAGACTGCATGAAGCTTTTTAATTCAAGTATGATGATCATGTTAAGATAAGTGAAATAACACTGTTATAATGCATTCATTAAGTTTTATTATTAATCATGTGAGTGGTGTATATAATGGTGCTCATGGAAATAATTAATTTTGCCTTCATATATCTGTACTCTGTACATTGAGGACAAAATGCCTCTTGTAATACCAGAAAATATGCTGCAGCCATGTTTTCTGAAAACTCCCGAGGCTATGATACTGCATCCTTTCATTGACACAGTCAGATGTACTCAGTTTCCCCCTCTTTTGAAATGTGGTGTGAATATTGTAAGTGCCATTTCAAATGCCATTTGTCCCTTTGTCAAACGCTTGGAATAGTGTAAATAGTAAATAGTGCATAGAGCTCAGATTTTTGTTTTTGCTTTATGAAGGCATTGAACCCTGCATTTATTTTGTTTTCAACAACATGATGAAGTTTGACTTCTCAAGATAATAATTTTTCAAATGACAGGTCTCTGAAATTTGCCTTGTTTGGTGTAGCAAGAAATATTGTTCTCTGAAAAGCCAGTGTCTTACAATTTTATGGGTTTACAGATTTGGAATTATAAACCCGGGGGAAATTTTTAGTCTTTGTATGCCTCAATATTATCTTTGACTTCAAGAAAACATGAAAATTTAGTATGTGCATTGTCATTAGGCCTACATGATTGTGTGACTGTTCAATGTTGTGCTTTATGCTCGCTTTGCATGCTGCGTGAAGTTCTCTGTTTTGAATTAATTTGAACCTTGATAACTTGTTTTATCTATTATCCAATTTTAATTATTTAAACAGTGAATTTCATTGTTTTTACAGCTCTTTCTGATCCGATCAAGAAAATCTACTTTCAGACAATTTGAGTTTTTTCTTTGTGGTACCTAGATTATTGGTAGCTCATTATTGAATTGTAAAAATGATTACCTCTGCACTTGTTTGATTTGATTTATTGAATGTATATCTGATCTTCAGATGTTCTTGATCAGCACCTTCGAAAGAACTTTGAGCTGAAGGTTGATACCTTTTTCCTAGGCCTAGTTATAATACAGAAAATTTAAAGAGCAGTTATTGTAGCCTGTTCATTCAGACTTGGGGCTTTGATGTTAGTTATATACCTGGCCTAGAATATAGCCTACAGTGGCATCCAAAAGAAACTTGAAAATATATTCGTCATGTTTAAGCTTTGCCGCACTACCCACTAATACAGTATACCAATTTAAAGCTAAAGAAATTCTGCATCATCTGACACCTTAATTTTTCATCTACGATGAGAGTCGCCTGAGATATAGTCACTCAAAACTGACCTTAAAAAATTATGCTTGGCAAAATTATGTGAAATCAAATATTGGAATGTATTGATGTTGGTGGAGGAATGGGTATGTATTGATATCAAATGAATGGAGCATTTTTTTTTTGTCGGCAGTAAACAATATTTTATAATGATAGTTTGAAACAAATTGGAAAATAGAGCAGTCACAAATAGATCGGTTGAATATTATATCTTCAAGTTTCTTTTGGACGCCACTACGTACACTTCAAAGATTTTATTGTTACAGATTTATGACTTGAGGAAAGACATCGTTTAAATTAATAATTCTGTTAGAAAACGGTCGTGGCTAATGTAATCCTTCAAGAATATTCTATTTCTTGTATAAGTGTACGTCACTGGAAGGCTTTTCAATTTAGTAAAGTAACGTTGTGCAATTTACAGTACATGTACATGTATCTAATCAAGCAGCTGGGTAGTATGAAGAAAAAAACAAAAGAGAGATTGAAATCTATTAAAAATGGTGTCTTATCTTTCATTAATTTAAAGCAGTTCATTCCTCTTTAATTACTTTTGTGCAGTTTTACGTTACCTACTTGTTTTCTGTCATTCATTTATACGATATTTCACTTGATAAGTATGTGAAGTGCTTTCTTTGAGGCTGTAGACGATGTGACTAAGTTGAATGACCAACTTATTGAATAGAATGTACAATTCCAGCACAAGGGCATGTACTTACTTTGAGTAATGACTTAAATAACTGGGTGTAGACTAGGTTATAGAATAGCTATAATAGTTGAGGAAAGACCTCCCCTTGTACTGTGCAGACTGTCTTATATATTTGTATAGTAAGTTCACCCTTGTCACGAGCCCACCCGTGCTCTTGCTCATGAGGCGTCAGTCATTTGACGTTCATCTAAGTAAACGATCATAACATTACACTTTATTTTCATCCTTTTCAGCTTTAAATTCACTATCTGGCATAGATCTATATCCCGGTTTCTTCGTTTTTTGTGTAAGTAGTTTAGGGTCTCATTTACTGATTCATGTTGAAAGTCTTAATTCATTTCTCTCTAAGTAAAGATTATACTTTTGTGCTGTCCATATAGTTGAATACAGTAGAACCCTTGTTACCTGTACTTTGCAGAACCCATGTATATCCGATTTCATGTTAAAAGAAGTTACAATACGTAGAACTAAAAGCGGGGAAAAAAATAGGATTCGAAATCCTTTCACTTTCTTGGTAGCAGGAATGTCTTGTTAAATGGCTTCGTGTTAAACAAAGTTTACTGCATATAAAATATTATGCGGGCCTACTTCCTGAGTGTTCATTTAACATCTTTTTGTGTTTTGTTGATGGCTTTTTTTATATATTGAAAGTTGTGAGTTCACTGCTAGAGATAAATAGACTAGACTACGACTAGATTTTGAGTTTAAGTAGGTTGTTTGTTTGGGTTTTTTGTTGTTTTTTGTTTTTGTTTTTATTTGGGGGGGGTTCAAGTTTCTCTAATAGTTGACAGTGATATATATCTAAAAATTTGAATGCAGTACAGATTTAAGTTTATCCCAGTTTTGGGGGTTTTAAAGAAATATACTTATTTTCACATATGTGGAAGTTGTGTATTGAGCACATGATCATCTGAAAATTCCTTGATTCATTGTCAATAAATCACAAATTTATTTTCTTTGTATCTAAGCTTTTTAACATTTTTTTTCTGTTTCATGTTTTGACATCCTGATATTCCTAATGACTTTCCTTCTTGCTTTCTGTTATTGGTGTTGTTGTTTTGTTGCTTTTGACTAGAATCTATCTTAATCTAGCACAGAATTTAGAATATATGTGTGAGGCATCGTGGTAAAATCAGGCGCTCGCCAAAATAATTAAATCAAAGAAATCGGCCGTTTTTTGGTTGATTGGCCATTTTTTTCTTATTTTCTTATTTTGACTCAACACCTTTCATGTCCATAGATACATTTTTGCCTGGATTTTCCTGAAATACATTGATTAAAAGCACAAAAAAATGTAAATTTTCAGTTTCGAAGGACTCTCAGGCTGTGAAGTTATCATACTTTGGCGGCCATTTTTTTCACTAATTTTACCTCTGAAACCAGGCAATCCTGACCTCCTTCAATCACGAATAACTCAACTTCTATTCAACATAGATGGATATTTTTTTCACCAAACGGAAGGCAAAGGAACAGGCTTTAAGATGATACCAATTACCCCATATACCGAAAAATTGGCGAGCGCCTGATTCCACCTCGTCGTGTCACATATGGAGCGTATGGTCTTTTCACTTTTCTGAATTGAGAGGACATATTCTTCTAGGAAGAATGAGAATGTTGCATGCATACATAATATACCCTGCTCATATTACTCTTTACATTTTGATTTCATAGATGTAAATTTTATTATAAATGTTTTAGATGTCCAGCCAACTTTCTCGTCATTTGCTGCAGAAAGTTGATGTCTCTTTCTAATCCAATTTGAATTGATTTTTCTAAGGTTAGGTGTGTGGACAGGTTATCCATTCTGGCAAGCCCAATTCTAGATGATTTTTGCATAATTCCAAATAATGTCCCTGTCCAAGGTTTAGCTGTTTTTGTTCTTGTTAAAGGACGCCAATCAGTAATCAGTGCTGATTAGCTAAACTGCACTGATGTCAACGGTGCTCCGTTTTTATCAAATGGAGACCATTCATGTGGAAGCCTGTTTTATTTTCTACTACGGTATTCTTCAAGTTATTTCCCCTCCTTACATTTCCATAATAAAGGATCATGCTTACATAGACATTGGAAACACTAGATTTCTTTACTTTTATCGCCCTTTCTTAACCAGTAGAATCATCTCCAGAGTTTCAAAAATATAAAAAAAAATATGTAATTAATATATCGTCGGTGGCCTGGTAATTAGGCTCTGGACTCGTATCCATATAAGGTCATGGGATCGAATCCCGCAACAGGGACCTGAAGAGTGCGAATATAATACAATTATTATTATTTTATTAT